TGGCTGTCTTTAACACTAGGTGCTACTGAGAGACCTTGCTGCTTACAGAGTGAAATGCACAAGGATCACCTGGGTGATAGGTGGTGAAGACATTTGATTTGAAACTGAAGGCTAAATTTAGTTTCCTCTAAATGAAGTATTGCTTAGATGAAAAATTTATTCACTCGCAAATAAATTGTACTTACTGCAGTTTTCTTCATCGCTGCCATCTGGACAGTCCTCAAAGCCATTGCACCGGAAGCGGCCAATGATGCAGTGGATTCCACTAGCGCAAGGGAAAAACGTGGCACCACATTTGGATTTGGCTTTTGCTAAAAGAAGATAAATACAGAGAAGGACAAAGATTAGGAAAATAGTTTATGAAGGCTAAAGACACTCATGTACCCAGTTAGGGTATTCTAGACAGTGCTGACACCTTGAAAATTAAGCTTATTCCAAGCTTTGCATTTCCTAGTGATCCTGCTTTCAGCTGCTTCAAGTTTCTAGCGAGTTTTCATTTCTTTCACCTTATATTTTTCCTCTCCAATTTAAATAATTTCCAGAATGACTGAAACATTTGAAGTTAAAGTCAAATGGCTTCTCTGAACAGCTTTGGGGTACACACTTGCAGATTTGGCAAAGAGGTACTTCTAACTGTCCCTTAAAAACACATGCTTCTGATTTTAAAAATTCAGAAGCTTTGGAGGCAAATTATTAAAACAGAGGTTCATACATCATAGAGATGTATGAACAACAGCAACTACCTTTCTTTTCATGGAACTATTAAGTGTCACCATTCCAACTCCAAACTGGGGAGACAAACTCCTAAATGGAAGCAGACCCTAACGTGGCAGACCAGAGGGCCATGGACCTGCTGGCAGTCCTCAGCAGGACAGGAATAGGAGGAGTCACTATTTATTTCACTGCACAGCAGCTCTTCATGGCAGAAGGAAGACAGCATGCCTTCGGCTAGCATAATGAGGATGCTTGCACCATGCAGCTCGAGGCAAGCATCAGCTAACTATTCATTGCTGCCTGCAACAAAGTAGCTCCCCAAAGTAAACACAGTTTAACAGGACATGTGGTTAGATTTTTTTTCTCTTCCTTCTCCTTTTTTAAATTCACATTCAACTAACACTTTCTTCACTGCTTAACAGGATATTGTCCCTCTAAAGCAAAGGCAGCCTCTGAGGTGAAAGCATGCAGGCTACCTGTGGAGATGCGTGCAGACAGTAACAGGATCCGGTGGCAATGTGACAGAGCAGCAGAAAAGCATCCAGCATGTAACTTTACAAAATTTGAGTACGTGTTTCCTACTCCTACATCAAGTGTGTAAGATGTGCTTACAACTCCTGGATTTTAAGGTGTATTAAGCTGGAGATCACACTGACAGGTAGTGTCTTTCTGTAGCCATACAGCATATGGATAAGTCAATTCAAGCAGCTTTCTAAGGTCAGGGAAAATAGCAAAAGCAGGGTAAAAACAGGTATGTCCAATGGGGATAACCAATTTCAGTGTTAATTTGGAAGGAACCCTTTCTTTCAGGGTTCAAAACTAACCACAGCTGTAGCAAGGCCTTCTTCCATAACTCAGCAGAGTGCATATAAACTGTTTTGAACTGCAGCTACAGTAAGTAAACTCTTGTTTGATTTAGTATCCTCCAAAATAAATTCCTGGAGTTCCTCTTTTACCTGTTTTTCTTTATTCTACTACTCACTTTCTGTTAGGATTATGAAATACAACATGGGATGGATGTATCACCGAATTTCACATATGTAGCCACATTTTTTTTTTCTGAAGAGAATCCAAGGTCCACTCAGGGGAGAAGAAGAAAAAAAAAGTTACCTCACAATAAAACTGGTGACAATTTATCCTGAAATAACTGCTGTGTTTAAGATCACTAGCAGTGGAAAACCCTCAGTCAAGACATCTGAGCCTTTGGAATTTTTTGCACAACTTAAACTGGCAAGTCTTGTGTTAGAGCTTTGAGGCAAATTGGTTTTAGCTAAATTTATAACCCAGAGGTCTGATTCAATGCCAGGCTTCAAGACTTTAAACAAAAGAGGCAAAACAAATGCTTTGCTGCAGTTCCAAGAACATCTTTAAAGCGAGCAGTGTATTCTAGTGTTTGACTAATATTCGATACGCTGAGTAGTCTACTAAATTGCTGCTGGGAATGTGGTAGCTGTACGCATATGTAGAGGTGCCCAATGCTACCCATTTTATGATGTTTTTTCCTAACATCTTTTCCAAAATACACTGCCATGATATTGCCATTATCTCCAGACAACTTTACTTAGAGATGTATTTTCAATGGGAACAGTTTCGAAAACAGGAAGAGAAGAAAGGAAGTAAGAAAAAGAGAAAAGGACCGTGGCTTTGTCCCTCAACATTTACTGGATTCCACTTCTTTGAATGAGTTTACCTCTGTCATGGTCAAAGGTCTGGAAGCTAGCTGGATTTTGGAGGTTTTAAGTTTCTGGCAAATCATAGCTAGAGATGTCTTTTTCCATTTCTGAAAATCCACCTAATAAAGGATTCAAAATTATTTATTGTCAAAATATCAACGATGTCTCACTCTTTCAGACAGACCTCAGGCTGAGAATTGCCAAAACCTGTGCTTCTGGCCCTTTCAGCTGCTCAGGTATTTGTACTTTTCTGACCATAGAGCTACAAGTGGTGGCAAATGGAGCAATTGCTCTATTTCAGGTAGGACAGACACTTTCCAGCCAACCTCAGCTGTCTTAGCTCCTAGAATAAGAAGCCCAAAAGCTCATCTGGTGCTTTTCCCTTGCACTTACGTCTCTCTGTTGTTGCAATTTTTATGTTGAGATGTCACAGTCACCACCAGTAAGTCAAGTTTATCTCAATGCAGGTATGGCTAGGCACAGCATTTCCATAAAGACTGTATATGAAGGAGATAAAAGTAGCCATTTTTTCCACTTGTGCCCATTCTTCAAAAACAGGGTTCATCTTAAAGGTAGGAGGAGGAGGATCAGTTTTACAACACAATAGAACATAAGCAGGTACAGGGCCTTTCACCCCAGGCAGTGACCGATACAAGCCCTAACCCAGTTGATACTAAGAGGGTTATTTTTGGTAAGTTAATTGCTGTTTTGACCCTACAACAATTTCAGTTCAGTTCCCCGTGGGAAAACTATTACCACCTGCAATCAGTCACGTGCAGCATGAGAATGCATCTTTTGTTCACTCACAGGTCTCATCAGGGCTCTCCAGCAGGTTGACAAGAAGCTTCACTGCCTCTGCTTTCTCTTACCTATCTAAAGGCTAACACTTCAATACTATTTCCAGCATAAAATCAACACACAGTTCATAACGCCAGGAGTTCTCCAGGACAACTATTTAACTTAATGGCCTTTGATCTAAAATGCAACCACTTCAGAGCATTCATCACACCTAAATAAGCCCTTGCAACCATCTTGCCTCTGCTCCCTGTCTTTTCACCAGAGAGATCTAAATGACAAGTTATTGGTAGAAGGCTGGTGAAAGAAACTTAGAGAAAGGCAGCCATGTTTTCTAACAATCAGTCAAATTAACCCATAGGAATCATAAGAGGCTGCCTGCAACACAATAACCATCACTCACTCACAGGGGCAATATATACGCTATAATTTACAGTTAGAGGGGAAGAACAGCACTTAAAAAAATAATAATAAAAAGCCAATGGAGTCAGCACCAGAAAGATACAACTGCTTCCTTTGAAAAGGGGAAAAAGAGAAAGTATTTTATAGCAGGACTACTGTGAAGATAACAGTCTTTATTTCTCCTTTGTCAAATAGTAAGGCCTTAAAAAAATCTTTCATGGTTTAGAAGTCTAAACATCTTTCAAAATTGTCACAAAGCAGATGAGATATCAGGTAATAGCATGGTCAAAAACTCCATTTTCAGATATTTTGTGAAAACTTTTTCTCACAAAAAAGTATTTTAGAAGCCTCTTGTTAAATGAAAACTCATGAATAACAATATCATACAAAAGGACAATTTCTAAGCCAGCTGTATAAACTCACCACAATTTCAAAGTTATCAAGTTACTCAGGATTCATACCAGCAGAACTGAATTTTGCCCTAAGGTACTTCAGGAGTATGGAACAACTCTCCTTACAGCATATCAGTTTTGCACATCAGATCATTGATGTGCACGGATGTGTGATGTCCTTATAGGGAATTAGAGGGATCTCTTTATTCCCTATTTTGCTACTAATTCTACCCTACTGTTAAAAATGTGTCAGTGTCAAGCTTTCACAAGGGCCTATTTCCTAACCCTCGTATACAGGAGACCAGGAGGAGGACTAAATAATTAGCACCACAATCCTTGAACCCCTTGTATAAAAAGCTATCAAATGCAAGGTTTCTATTGCACTTCCCTTTAATCACATATAGGTTTTTGTTTTGTTTTTAAATAATTGAGCTCCAAATGAAATGTTCAGCACAGTCACTTCATTATAAAATCTATAGTAACTACTCTAAGTGTTTGGTCACTTCATCAGGAGGAAAACCAGAGTTAATTCTAATCTGATATTCAACTTTTGAGCTATCCAAATAAGTGACAAAAAAAAAAAAAAGAAAAAAAAAAACACCCAGCAGCTTCCTTCGGGCACCTTCTCAGATGCTCATTTCATGCATTGTTTAATGTTGAGTTTTGTTTAAGAATTTTGATGTTTGCCACCTACCTAAGAAATCTGCTAAAAGCTTCGTTAAAATGTATGTTCCAGTGGCCCTGATGGTCAAATGGCACTCTGAGCTTTCCTCATGCACTGCAGAGGGGGATTTTCAATTAGTGGCTGACAAAGCATTTTGTCAAAGGTTATCATTAACCTCTCCCAGCTCAGTTTCTCTTCCAACTCTAATTGTAAACCCAAGCTCCTGCACCTGCCACCCTTACTCAGAACTAATGCTATCAAAACCTTGATGTTTGATTACTCACTAGTTGTAATGGCAAATGCATACCTGAAAATAATTAGTAAGGGATTTTAGAAGTTATCTCCTTGACTTCACTTTTCATGAGTGCTGCAATAGAAGCTGGATTCTTGGGGCCTCCTAACTATCATGGCATTAGGAAGAACATTTTGCCTCATAACGCCAGTCTTACGCTGAAAGCAGATTATAGACCAGGAGATCTGGATTTTCTTTTGGCTCTCCCAAATAATTTCTGTCCAGCACCTAGCAAGCACCTGGCAAGATCTTGGTGTTGCCAGTTCCACTTCTGCAAGATATATATCACAGACAAGTAGAAGAATAATTAAAACTATGAAGTACTGCCAGCCTGTCAGCGCTTTACTATAACGCAATGGTCAGACTTGAATAAGCTAGC